TCAATCATCTAAATTAACAGAGAAGAAAGAATGTTATCAGAGAGATTATACAAAAGAAAATAAATGTTTACCCATGGAAGTTGTGGAGGAAGTGACCTTAGCATGAGGATCAACTTGAAGGTTCTTCACCATAACGTCAATGGCATCTAAAAATCTCAAAGCAGCCAAATGTTGATAAAAACCACATTAAAAATCTCAAAGCAACAGTAATGCATAAGCCACATAATTTCTTTGTGGAATGTACCGTTTTCTTCCCTTGGCCTTTTTCCCTTAACAGAATAAAAAACCACATTACATTGATGTTCATGTGAATAAAGTGATATTAGATATAGATACAGCAGACATCAATACCAGCACAATTTTAAGGTAAATCTTCTTGCTCAGGACTTGCAACCCCCATTATCAAAATATCCTTTCACGAGCTTAATCATCCACTTGCCGAATCCCCTATGCAACAAATCCAGCCAAAATCAAGAAACAAGCACTTGGGTGGATACAAGCAAAGCCATCCAAAAACTAAAACAGACGAAGCTACACATTAAGAATTCATTAATGGTAAACGAAACTGAATACATTTAGGGTTTAATGACTGGACCTCCAACAGACGAAGCTGATTTTTTTGGGTTCAAAACAGCCGAATCGATTGAAGAAGAAGAACCCGCTTTAAGCGAGCTTAGTTAGAAACTTGCGGAGATGCAGGTAAAGGCGTCTGGAGCTCTGGAGAACCAACAACGAAGGCGAGCGGTGGAGGCGGAGGGATTTTGGTTGCGATGGATTTGGATTTTAGACGGGTTTGAGATGTGTGAGGGGGAGGAGGCTTAGGTGAGGTTTGATTTCTCTTGGCCATCGGTTTAATCCCGGCGATGGATGCCATGGCCAACGCCGGTGAGGTAAATCTGAGAAGCATGCGTCTCTCGAGAAGGAGAGTTTTTTTTTTTGGTATTTGTTTTGCTTTCGAGTGTTGATATTTGTTTAGTAGAAGAATATGTTTATGAAGAATAATTTTAACAAAAAGTAATTAAATTTTCTAAATTGGTCGCAAATTAATTTTTGGCGGGATAATAGGCGCCTAAAATTTCACCAAAATGTCCAAAATTTTCAAAGTTTTGGTCATCGTTAGAAGTCTGTTAAAGTTTGGAATATATTCAAACACTTCAATCAGTAGACTTCGTTAGAAGTCTGTTAAACCGGCAACG